ACATTTCAGTTTCTGCTTTTTACCAGATGCAATTTGCTGCTGTCTAGTAAGCAAGAGGAGGCTTCCTGATGACTCAAGGTGCACAGCACAGCGGTTCCAGTATTCAGAGCCGTCATTCACATCTCCACCTCCCCTCCCTCTTTTAAATTAGGACACTGTTTCTCTAACAAATAATACATAAAAAGTTGATATCTTAGGATGAGATCACATGACCTATTCGTCCCTCCTGTAGCAAGACTGTTAACAAAGTTGTTTTTGCTTGTGAGTTTCCTTCAGGTTGCCGTCAAGTTTCATCAAGTAACTAAAGACTTTTAAAGATCGGAACATCAAACTGCAGAACAATCACAAAAACCACAGCGCTTTTATGAGACTTAAATATCAAAGTGTTCATTTTAATTTGAAAGCTTGAACTTGTTCTAAAGTGTTACTTCAACAAAAATGAGTAAAAACCCTGCTAGTATCTGTTTTGTCTTCCTCTCTCTATCTTTCCACACACATCACGGAAACTCTGATGATTCATGCAACATGTCAACAATGATGTTCATCTACAACAGAAGAAAGAGATGCTCTGGATATGACTCAATCATTTATAACCTATTAATACAAAAATAGAGTTTATATTATTGTGTGTCGTGCCTGTCAACTTGCACCATGCACAGGAAACAAGAAAAACCAGATCCAGAGAGCTTTTTTGTGATAAGTTGATAATTATTAGTTGATAGTTTTGCTGTTAAGTGAATTATTGAATGACATAATTTCCAATTTGGGATAAATAAAGTATATATATATCCGACTAGTGAGTGTTTTACTTTTGTTGCAGCTCTTGAAACCAAACCATTTCCTTGTTCATCATAACTACACCTGAATTGTTGATAAGCCAATTTATGAAAAATGTTTTATTGCATGATTGCTGATTTATTTTGTTGCCTCCTAGAATATGATTTTACTTTTGAACTGTAGCTTCAAGAGGTTTGAAAATGTAATGGGCTCTGGGAAACAGTTTATGGACATTTTATAAACAATATAAGATATTGGCCTATTGAGAAAATAAGCAATTGATAATTAAAGTAATCCTTAGTTGCAGCGCTACTTTGTACTATCTTATTTCCTCTTGAATATTTATCAAATCTGCCTGAACAAGCATCCAGTATTCAACTGTACAAAAGATCTCTGCTTTGAGATAAACCAGATGTTACATGCAATTGATCTTTCTTTAAACTTTAATTAAGGCTTACTTTGACCAGAGTAAACATCACAAATGCTTATGTTAAATTTCACTCCAGAAGAAGTTTATGATGAGAGTTCATGATGTGCAGGTTAAATTGTGGGTGGGTAATATTAGTTTCCCTTTCATGTAAGATAGTAAGTCCCTCGTTTTGGAGAATCCAGTCCACCTTAAGATAAAACAATGACTTTCTTTCTACAAGTCTTAACACTGGCTTCAATGTTGAGCAGATTAGGAGGTAGGGGGGGTCAGTCAGAGTGACCTCAGAGTGAAAGGTCCCTCAGTGGCCCCCTGACTGTCACCAATGAAGGAATCTGTCTAATCACACACACACACACACACACACACACACACACACACACACACACACACACACACACACACACACACACAGCCACCCCCGGGGCAAAAACACAGACAGGATGGAGAGGCCGGGGCCCTCTGGAGGACACAAACACCACAAAAAAAAAAATCTACCCTCAATAATGAATAAGGGCAAAAACACAAAATGTGCAAAAAGCCCTCACACTACCTAATCATTTGCATGATTGAAAGCCTCGTTTTTTTTTTACTCACTCATGAATATTTTAGGCTAAAGAGAGAAAAAACACATCCTTTGGCTGAACAATGACAACATCCTCTACCTGCCATACAACACCTGCATGACTGATCCAAAACAAAAAGCTCAGTCATGTTTATGTAAACACAGAGGCTCACAAATGCATGAAATCAGTGAAGATGACACATGACACTAAAAAAGGGGAGAGTTCAATGTGCATTTTACCTGGCTCCAGACTGTGTCATTGTGCAGTGGCATATGAATTACTGAAATTAACGTTAAACCCTTCTGAGGAAAGGTGAGGAGGACACACCTACTCGTCCTTTATTTACTGTTGCTCGACCGAAACTAGACAAAGCTATGCTGTAGTCTCCGGTATCGCCTGCAGAGGTGGATCTGTCACAAAGCAAACACACCATACCTTAGAAATTCTTGGAGACAGGTGTCACAGAACCGATGTCCACAGGTAGACACTTGGACCGGTTCCCGCATCGCCTTGCTGCAGAGCGGACACTGGAACCGTCTCTTTGGCTTTTCCAGAAACTTGTAATCAAACCCGGGCATCGCTACAGGTTCCGTGGCTATTTCTCGGCCTTCTGCTGCAGGTTAAAAAGGTATTAATGTCCTCTTTTGATCCCTCAGTTAAGTCCCCCCTCCCCCTGAAAACGGGGCTATTTAGCTGCACTGCTGTTTAAGCCGATGAGGGGTTCATATCACGTCCCTTCCGCCACCGAGCGATCGGGCTTCAAGGAGACGATCACTCCCCGGGTTTTCCTCCTGCAGCCCCGGAGACTGATGGAAACAAAAGAGCGGCACGAGCGTCCAGGAAACGCTGCAGAAACGATCGCAGATTTTTCCCCAAAAGCGCTCTCCGTGCACTGTTAGAGCTCAGGGTTCATGTGTGGCCCTCTCCTCCTGCTCTGTGGATGCAGTACTGACAGCAGACTGTCACTGAGCACAATGCATAACCCAGGCTCCGTGTGGTTTAGGTGCACCGAGGCCCGCCTCCTCCTCCCCGCAGGAGGAGTCAAACGCTGAGACACTCCGTTCACACCATTTCATCCCCCTCTTATCTCTTTATAGACATTTAATTTGAGCTTTTGTGTGGCTGATCATCAAATGTTTGTTTTCCATGTCTGTGTTCAAATATTTACTACTCAATTGTCAGTTAATACCTAATTAAGTGCAATGATCCTGGCTTTCAAACTATTAAACATAGTACAGTCAAAAGTGTTGGAAGGTTTGTTTGTAATTTTTAAGTCAAAATCATATATTTTGTTTTAGTCAAATGTCTAATTGACCTAATATAGAAAGCTACAGCACAGTAAGAGGTGGAAGGTGCCCTCTGGTGGTTAAGCAGACACACACAATGAATATTATAGTACTATTTCTATGTATTTTTCTGTAAAATGTTGCGTTTATAAATAATAACAATACAACCTGACTGAGTATGTTAAGCTCATGCATATATTATAGAAAATGGGCGTGTTTTTGTGACAAAAGAGATAAAGAGCACATCCACATATTTATATATTTTTTTAACCTGCTGTATTGCCAAAGGATTACATCATCATTACATCATCACACAAGACTACAATGTCGAGGATCCATGTCCTCAGACAAGGTGTGAACAAATCTTCAGAAAGGAGTGATTATAACAAAAACGTGATCGTATTTTGAAAAATATTATAATTTCTATTAGAATCTTAATGAATAACACTGGAAGAAAAAAAACATGCATGTATAGATTAACTGTATTTTATGATGATATTTTATAATTCACTTAATTATACTCACCATTTCAAGATGGTGATGTATAGCTTGTCTTATTTTTTGGGCAACCTTCATGATAAGTATGTTTTCTTTATTTCAGACAAACATTAGCAGCCACAATAAATATGACCTTCTCTGAAATGCTTTACATCAATTTCTATTCAAAATGTAATTTCAGATACAGGATTTCACAAACACCGGTAAGAATAATTCTTTCTTATATTATTGGTACCTGCAAACATTCCACTGTACTGAAAAGTACACTCAAATACTTTGTGCAAATGTGAAGTACTTTACCTGAGTATTTCCATTTTAAGGTACTTGTATATTCAATCCACTACATTTCAGAGGCAAACATTGTACATTTCACTTCATGTATCTAACAGTCAGTTGCTTAGCAGATTAAAAAGGTATAATTTTTTTTTTTAAATACAAGAAATATAAAATTAGCCACACATTTGCCAGCTGCAACAAGTGATGCTTACACAATAGTTAATGCATCACTAATCATGATGAAAATAATAAAATATATATAATATGTACTTTTACTTTACATTTTTGAGTAAATAACTTGCAGAGTATGCATAGACTGTGGTATTGCTATTAAGATCTGAGTACTTCTACACCACATTGGCTTCAGCAGTTTTCCTTACTTAAAGGTGGGGTAGGTAAGTTTGAGAAACCGGCTCGAGATACACTTTTTGTTATATTCCATGGAATGCTCTTAACATCCCGATAGCAATGAATATCTAAAGTGCTTTGACAAAAAATCCATAAAAAATGTCATCTGTGGAAGCCGTAGTACTATAAAAAGCCCGACCAATCATTTTAGCCGACCCGGCTAAAATAACTGGATGGCCTACCTGCCTGTCAGCCTTCCATCTGTGCACAAACTTATCTCGTGCCCTCATTGGTCATGCGCGGGCTCTGTAAGGAAGTGGCAGATTTCTTCCGACTGTGTATTTTCAAATTCTAGCACACTCGAGCTGGTTTCTCCAAAATTACCTACCCCACATTTAACAGTCTTAGGTTATCTTATGAGTACAGGTCAAACAGTATATACCATTTCATATTTGAAATGTATTAACATAGCTAAAAACTAAAAAGATAGTCTTTGGCAAACCTTCCTCTCAACACTCTATACTTCCATAGTTGATTTCTAGTGTTTATCAGACAATAATTATGTCTTTAGAGTTTGTTAGAGCACTTATTTTCATAATACAGTATTCTGTGAGTGCCAAAGTGTCAAAGTGTGAGTTGTATGCTCTCTGTAGTGCTCTCAGGATTTCTACAATGGAACAAAAATGGTAGAATCCATCAATAAGAGCTGTTGACCTAGCAGATTTTGGATTTTGTTTGTTCCGTTATATTTGTTCACATATCATATCCTCCAGGACTTTCTTCCAACACTCCCCAATACAACCTGCCATATTGGATTGATTCTATAATTTATTTTAAAAACGACTTTACTTGTGACCAACCCCTGCCACCTGCTGAGTAGTGAACGAGGCACTATTTTCCGACACATTAAGTTTTAAAGATGAACACAACAGCGTTATCTGGTTTGAGCGCAGCCTTTGAGTTACAAATGTACCGGAGGACTAATCCAATAATATACAATGTGATCGCTGACGGCGTGATCGAGGTCACTGTGTTTGGTTCACTCGACTGATGACACTGAAGTGGCTTTCACTCTTCATAGGTGGCTTAAGGAAGCTCAAACCAGTTTGACTTTTTCTGGCCTTTATCATGCTAACTCTGCATGTGAGAGAGGACAATAGCTCTCCACATGAAAGCTGGCTAATGACATCCTGTAATCCATATTAAGTAGCTGACAGGGTTGCAACATTTCTCTTATCTAACCTGTTGTGACATACCTGCTGCTACACACAGCTTTTTTGTGCTTTTCTGTAAGATATCAAACTGTTGAACGAAACAAACAGAAGAGAGAAAAAAACTTGATGGAGAGGAAGACCAAGTGAGAATCTGAGGCCGCAGCTGCAGTGTGAAAGGAAATCTTTCAACTGCAGCACAGATGGGCCTCTGGGAAGAGTTATATTCAGAGGAAGCTTCACCTCAGGCCACTGCCAGACTGCAGGACGACTGCTAAGTGGGGGTGTGTTTGTTTTTAGGACAAAATCATCTCTGGACAGGTTCCTCAAGCAAAGCTGAAACAAGAGGGAAAGAGGGCAAAAGGTCAAGGGTCAGAACAGGAATTATTGTCAATAAAAGATGAATTGATTGACGAAGAATTAGTTGGCATCTACTTTGATAAATGATTTCAGTCATTTTTCTGAAAAAATGCTTAATGTTGATACAAGGATGTCGACATGGAGATGAATTTGGGATTTAAACGTTGTGCTTTTTTAAACATTATACATTTTTAAATGGGGTATTCAGGAGAGATGTGATTCCTCAGCAATCCGATATCAGGGTTACAGTGTTTCTATTTAGAATGCATTCATTTAGCAGTTTTAGTACATTAATTGTTAATTAATGAACTTTGAAAAAGTGTGGTACGGTAATTTTCGATAACTAAATTATGTTTTAGGTGAAATGTCTTTCACAGAGATCAGCTTCTTCACCAAACTATGATTTTCTTGGATAGATAATAAGATAAGCCTACAGAAGAAATAGTAATCAAACTGTTTTAGGTTTCTATTGCTTCCTTGTTTTCCGAAGACACAACTTCTACTCACTGTCGTTTCATGATACAGTATGGGTTAAATTGTTTGATATAATCAACATGTTGTGGTATTTATATACTGTAGTCTAAGTGTGATCTTTAAAAAAAAAAGTATATACACTTTTTTTTAACAAATTGTATGATAATCAGTTTTTGGTTTGGTCCAAACAGAATCACAGACCCTGCGAATGACCTATGAGTGTTAGTCAGTGTTAGTCCATGTCCTTGTCACATGGTGCAGTTCAATCAAACATTTAAACAGCAGCCGTGACGCCTGTAGCGAGGATTAACAACATCTCTGCTATTTATTAAACTGTGGTGCAGTTTAATCTCCTCTAAATCTGCAGCTATTTTCTATTTGGAGTGTAGAGAGACTTAATCCCACCTTCAGTTCTGTTTGTATTAGATTCTGTGTCACATTTGAGACAAAGAGGGATAAATTGCTGTTTTCTGCTCCTCCCAATTGGAAATCTATGGCCCAGTCACGAATGTCATGATTGCCATCAACAGCCACAAAGCAACATTAGGCTGATTTATTACTTTCGGACGTAGATAGAAAGGTCCTGATCGTGTGTAGCATGTAGTGACTGGACATGCTTAGACTTAATTCCAGTATGAAACAAAGCTGTAGTCACGTCTTTAGCCTTAGAGCTTTAAAACGTACAAATGAGTCCTTTCACAATTCTTCATAAACATGCATCTCTGTCGACGCTATCAGGAGGCTTGTCTCAAGTTCAGCCTGTCTTTCATCTGGGGATTAGCACTCTCAGTTACATTTCACCACCATCCCAACATCTCACAGTGTTTGTTAACAAAGGCTAATAAGCGAAATATTACGTTTCACTGCCAGCAGGGTGTTGCCATGACAACAAGCTACCGATGTCACCGTGAATGGGTGACTTTCGTCAAGCTGCACCGCCTTTGGTATCCCAGAATCCTCCTCTTTTCTTCCGAGGCGGCCGCGGGCACCCTTTCCCCAGGTGTACACCTCCCCATCTGTGGAGAGCAGGGGGAGAAGGAGCGGGTCACTGTTTCTGATGAATTCATTCACACAAATATTTAACTGGCGGCTTTGTCTCTCATGCAGTGGTGGCAAAATGACGATCTGAAGGGAGTTAAAGCTGAACAAAGATTTTCTTCAACAAAGAAAGACTGCAGGCGTGGTGGCCACTGCTGACTACCCCCCCCCCCCCCCCCNCACCCCCGGACATTTTATCCACATATTGTACACAACGATTTAACCTTCAGATCATTTCAGTTTGAAACTTGCAGACATTTTAAAATTCATCACAGTGATCATTTAATCAGCTCTCTCTTTTGCTTACTATGTGGTCACTTAGTTGCTCACAGGGATTGAAATGGGTGACTTTCCTTAAGATCCTCCTCTTTCCCTCCAGAGCAGCTAAACCACAGATATTTAAGAAATGTTGTCTCAACTCAGAACTGAGAGTAACCCTGTTATATTTACTCCATCAACTCCTACTCATACATGACGTGAGGGATTAACAATGATGGAGAATACAGAGTTTCTCCTTTGCTTCCTTTGTGAAGAAATGCTTGTAGAAATCATCAATCTAAAGTCAGCTGACAGCAAGCATTTTATCGCAAAATCATCAAATTAACATTTTCCTTTCTTAGACCATTTGTTCATGCTTATAATTTGACTTCCGGGTATAATAACCAGACAATATAGCTTCTGTATGAAACGCTTTTATGTTTTAAGATTGACAGTATTTCCTGATCTTTCCACGCTAGTACATTTCCTGTTAAGTGCCCTTAAAATGAGACAATCAAAACATATAGATAAATATATTACATTTTAGTCTCTTCTACTCACCAGATCCGATAGCCAAGGTGAAAGCGTCTCCACAGGCGGCCATGGTGATGCCCTGCAGCCCGGGCACCAGGTAGGGAACACGGCTGCTGCGACGGGAGCTGCAGCCCATCTGACCGTGCTGGTTGCTGCCGAACGTAAAACACTCACCCCTCTCTGCAAAATGTGGTTGAAAGTATCAGTAATAAGACTTCGACACAATAAATGTCTTGGGTAGGGCAAAATATCATAGATCATTGACAATATAGATATCTTGTTCCAAAGTCTGATACAAAATATGTCAATTGATACAATAATACTAATAATAATATAATATTTGTACCTGTGACTGCAACAGAATGGGCTGTCCCAATGTCAATGTGAACAATCTTCTCACTGTCGAGTGGGGCTGATTGGACATGAGTGTAAGAGTTGACTTCTTCTAACTGATCCGAGGGATTTGATTCCTCTCCAGCTGTTATTATATCCAACCCGAGCTTATTGAACCTGATCACAACAAAATAACAACCAAGGTACTTTAAAACACAAATCTAAAATGCATGTTTATCACAGAAACCTTTAACACTGTTTCCTTGTGTAGTTCATGTACCTGCTGAGTCATATGAACAATGCCATTTCTATTAGGACCTGAAATTAACTCTGTTGTGTTCACTGTCTTACTTATGCACTTATCTACATCCGGTCCAACACCTCACTGAACGAGACGGATAATGATGACAGAAGAGTGTTTGTCATTTAAGGAGAATGCTGACTCACAGGTTGTGCACCAGATAAGTGTCTCAGTGTTTCGTGTTCTTTAATCTATCACCAACACATGCACACAAACAAGTTATTTGACCGCTGTTTCACCGCAGATCATTAGCTCATGTCCGTCACTGAAATGCCTACCGAAACTAATGGCAATTGTCTTTTTTTTTAATGCGAAAATATAGAGTAATTACCTGTTGCTTCCACAGGCCACAATGCCGTACTGGGTGCTGATAATCATTGAGCAGTCGACTCCACAAATCACCCTCTGGGCCTCAAATTCCACAGGTAAACACACCTGCCGTGGACAGTTGTGGGAGTCTTGGTTACCTAGCCCGAGGCGACCTTCCAACAGAAATGACAGAAACTCAACAATCAAACTGTGTGTTGAGATAATGCTGTCATAAATCAATCCAAACAAACACCAAAAGATGGATAGTAAGATAGATTTTAAAACAACCGGATCATTAACTCTATACCATTGTCTCCTCTTCCCCAGGCAAATACTTCTCTTTCATTGGTCACAGCGACTACGTGGGAAGCACCACAGGACATCTGAACCAGCTCGTAGCCGAGGAGGGCCTCAACTATCTTTGGCTGAGCAAAAAGAAAACAGAGAGAAAAAGATATGTCATCTTTGTCGTGTTTTAATCACAAATCTAAAGCGACATGTCGTCCTGGTTACCCAGTGTAAGTATTCAATATATCATATAAATGCAACATTCAATTAATGCCAGGGACCTCTGTTGCATTTCTAATGATTCTCCTTCTCCACTTCATTACTAACTATCTGTCCAATAAAATTACATTTTTTTACTTAAATATTTTGACAAGAAATGCACATGATAGCAACATTAGTAATCTGCTTCAAAGGCACATACAGTATGAATTACACATCCCCAACTTGAATATTGCTCATTGTATTGGAATACCAAAGAGGTTGATGTTTTGAAATGAATTGGATGTAGATGGTGGTGTGACATTGAATACTTTTTAAGTATTCAAATAAGAATATAAGAATATTGAAGTACTGACAACTTTTGTTTACATACTTTTAATACAAATCCAATGAATAAACTAAATTCCCCATTTGCAACTCTACCAGTCTCATACAACAGTCATTGTTTAATACCTTATAAGGGGTTTAATGTTTGTATTAAAACTGTTTTAGAGATACAATGATTCAACTTTGCATAGGGATTGTGTTGCTGTTTAAAAATAATGCATTTCACTAGGAGTTGTTTCTAATATTTAGCCTAATTGATACAAACAACAACACAATATTATAAACCCTGGTAGAATCGATTGTAGTGCTCTTGTACTAGGCTGCATTCCTTTAAATTGGTGAATCTTAAAAACTGTCGACTGAGTGTATATTTAGTCTAAGTATTTCCCTTTGAATGGTGGGTACCTGTGTTACATCATTGAAGTTTCCATGTCCCAGACAGCCGTTGCTCCCACTTCCAAACGTCATAATAATGCCCCTGTCTGCAAATTAAAAATAAAATGAAGGGATTAAAGACACTAGTCTCTACAGTGAAAAGTGATGAAAGAGAGGGAAGGGTCTTTAATCCTGTGTTATCTGTTTCACATTAGACACAGACTGACAACAGCCTCCTAATGCACACTCACTAACAGAGCACACCAGTTTAATCTCATGGAAAACTATTTCCAAACTGCTAGGCAAGCAGAGAGGTTACATTGCAAGTGGATCCACACTATCTGATCAAGTCTGGAAAAAGAGCTGACAGCACCCTTTTATTTGCACGTTTGAATGCTGCCTCAGACTCGACTTTTGAGGAAGGGAAACAGAGAATAAATATTGATTTCCTTTAAAAGAGCTCCTAAAAATCAGAAGGGTCCACCAACCTGTCATGCAGGTGGTAAAAAGATCGCCACAGGACACAGACTTGATGGTAACTCCAGACTGACCCTCAAGGAAACGTGAAATGAACTGAGGCTGCAGCTGCTCCACCACACCGGGCAGACCGGCCTCACCAGAACCCACTGATGGAGCCTGTGACAATAAATATTATATGTCTTAATGGAGGGAAAAAGGTGAGGATTTAACTGTTTCAAATAATACATAGGAATCATATTTTGATACTGCCGGTATAAAAATATGACATGAGAAAGTAAGAATTAGCTCTCTTATACGCCGACAGAAACCTTTAATACGTCATGTTTAACACCCTCCAGCAGTTACTTTTTTATGTTAAGTACTGATAATTCCCAGCATGTCTTGATTTAACTACAGAAAATCCAATCCAAAAACATGGGGATGCTGACTACTTGCACTGAAGAAACTGCTGGTGTGGAACTTGCTATCTATGTCTATTTAACAATATATTATGGCTGTTTAGACGACAGGGATGCTTTTGAGGGGCTTGACACAATAACCAAATGTGTACCATTAATATTCGAGATAATAATAATAATAATCTACAACAAAAGAACATTAAAATGTCTTTGGTCATCAACAGGTTGGCCCAGGAGTGCAGAATAGGTCTTCCTTGATAGTGGAAGATGTAGGATTTTTCCTTTAATGCATTACTTCAGGACTTTGTGAGAGAAGCGTTGTATGAACCTCGAAAAATATAAAACATGTTCAGGTTTACACAGACCTCCCATGTAATCAGACGGCCAGACTTGGTCACCCCCATCCTCTGAGTGCGGCCCAGAGACACTTGAAGCACCTCGGTGTTGAGCATCGGCAGTCGGAGAGGTGCTGAGATTCCACTTCCCCACGTGTACACTGACGACAGCAGGAGAGAATGAACCTTCCCTGACCCTAAACCCACTGATCCATCTGTTAGAAATAACAATTAAGTGTGAAATTAAAGTTCTATTTTCAACCTGGTACAGCTAGTTCTGTCGTCAAATAATGGTGTGGTAATTCTGACCTCTGGACCTGTTGGTAGGAACTCTGCCTCCTTGTCTACCCTGAGTTCCAGTGTGCATACTAGACAGCGGTTTCTCAATCCTTGAACATAGAAGAACAAATAACTATTATAACACAAAACACAATTTAGGAAAACTTATTCTAAAATCACGTGTGTTAAAATGTCTGTCTAGACAATAGTCATGCATTTAGGAAGTACCGGCGCATTTTGACGTTGCCTATATCCGTGTAGAGATTTAGCAGGGGCCTGATGCATACAGGGAGAGCCATTATTTCATTAAGCTGGGGCCGTTTGGATGGATCCAGATTGAGCATGTGGAGGATGAGCTGTCGCAGCTCTGGGCTGTACCGGTCGGAAATTGGAGCAAATGTTCCACTCATGATCTTTAGAACGAGTGCGGGTAGATTCTGAAAGAAATATAAAAGATTTATAGACAAAAATTACATAATTCACTATAAATACAGTGGGGCAAAAAAGTATTTAGTCAGCCACCAATTGTGCAAGTTCTCCCACTTAAAAAGATGAGAGGCCTGTAATTTTCATCTTAGGTATACCTCAACCATGAGAGACAGAATGAGAAAAATAAAATCAAGAAAATCACATTGTCTGATTTTTAAAGAATTTATTTGCAAATTATGGTGGACAATAAGTATTTGGTCAATAACAAAAGTTAATCTCAATACTTTGTTATATACCCTTTGTTGGCAATGACAGAGGTCAAACGTTTTCCGTAAGTCTTCACCAGGTTTTCACACACTGTTGCTGGTATTTTGGCCCATTCCTCCATGCAGATCTCCTCTAGAGCAGTGATGTTTTGGGGCTGTCGCTGGGCAACACGACTTTCAACTCCCTCCAAAGATTTTCTATGGGGTTGAGATCTGGAGACTGGCTAGGCCACTCCAGGACCTTGAAATGCTTCTTACGAAGCCACTCCTTCGTTGCCCGGGCGGTGTGTTTGGGATCATTGTCATGCTGAAAGACCCAGCCACGTTTCATCTTCAATGCCCTTGCTGATGGAAGGAGGTTGTCACTCAAAATCTCACGATACATGGCCCCATTCATTCTTTCCTTTACATGGATCAGTCGTCCTGGTCCCTTTTGCAGAAAAACAGCCCCAAATCATGATGTTTCCACCCCCATGTTTCACAGTAGGTATGGTGTTCTTTGGATGCAACTCAGCATTCTTTCTCCTCCTAAACACGTCTACGTTGAGTTTTTTACCAAAAAGTTTCTAATTTTGGTTTCTATCTGACCATATGACATTCTCCCAATCCTCTTCTGGATCGATCTAAATGCTACTCTAGCAAACTTCAGACGGCCTGGACATGTACTGGCTTAAGCAGGGGGACACGTCTGGCACTGCAGGATTTGAGTCCCTGGCGGCGTAGTGTGTTACTGATGGTAGCCTTTGTTACTTTGGTCCCAGCTCTCTGCAGGTCATTGACTAGGTCCCCCCGTGTGGTTCTGGGATTTTTGCTCACCGTTCTTGTGATCATTTTGACCCCACGGGGTGAGATCTTGCGTGGAGCCCCAGATCGAGGGAGATTATCAGTGGTCTTGTATGTCTTCCATTTTCTAATAATTGCTCCCACAGTTGATTTCTTCACACCAAGCTGCTTACCTATTGCAGATTCAGTCTTCCCAGCCTGGTGCATGTCTACAATTTTGTTTCTGTAGTCCTTTGACAGCTCTTTGGTCTTGGCCATAGTGGAGTTTGGAGTGTGACTGTTTGAGGTTGTGGACAGGTGTCTTTTATACTGATAACGAGTTCAAACAGGTGCCACTAATACAGTTAACAAGTGGAGGACAGAGGAGGCTCTTAAAGAAGAAGTTACAGGTCTGTGAGAGCCAGAAATCTTGTTTGTTTGTAGGTGACCAAATACTTATTTTCCACCATAATTTGCAAATAAATTCTTTAAAAATCAGACAATGTGATTTTCTTTTCTCATTTTGTCTCTCATAGTTGAGGTATACCTAGGATGAAGATTACAGGCCTCTCTCATCTTTTTAAGTGGGAGAACTTTCACAATTGGTGGCTGACTAAATACTTTTTGCCCCACTGTATGTACAATCCTTGCCGAAGGAATAAGATATTCTCTTTAGTGGCCATCTTTGGAGCTTGAAGTGGATATACTTCAAACCAACACAAACTAAGTAAGACTCGAATCATTACAACCAAGTAGGCAAGGTTCTTTTTGTAAATACAATGTTTTGCTTACCGCAGCCTCGAAGGCTCTCTTGAGGCTCGCTAGCTCATAGAGCACACAGCCCAAGGCCCAGATGTCACTCTTCTGGTTATATGGCTTTCCTTCACACAACTCTGGGGAGATGTAACATGGGGTCCCAACAACCTGCAAGTAAGAAGAAGGGCATTCATTTGTGCAAACACATTTTAGGATTCAACACATCAGGATAAGTTTGTTGTTGAAGTATTTCAACTCCCAAATCAATGGCACATCAGCTCACCGTATAAGCTTTGCTCTTGCTGACAAGGATTTTGGAGATACCAAAGTCACCAATTTTGACGATCATCTGGTGCTTGTCAAGAAGAATATTCTGAGTCTTAAGGTCTCTGTGCAAGATCAGTTTGTTGTGGACGTGGTACAGGGCAAGTAAGATCTGCACAAAGAAGTGAAGGATAGTGTCCTCGTCCAGCAGGGAGTTACAACGCTTCTGTATGTAATCCGCCAGAGTTCCACCTGCATGAAGAAAACAATGACATAATGAACAATAAAGATGATGCTCATGAAACCATAACTAAATGATTCCAAGGTAATAAAAGGACATTAAATCAAAAAGGTTAAAATGACAATATATCTAACACTTGTCTCAAACAGACTTTTGACAAAATAACAAATATTTGTACTTAAAACAAAGTAAAGACAGATAAAACATTCTAAGAAGATTTTAAAAACAGAAACAGACGGATAAAACATGATGACATCATGTGAAGGAGAAAAGGTATGGGGCCCTCCAGCAATAAACCATGGGAAAATTGCAGTTTGATAATGAACAAAAGGGGGATCGTGTAATAAGATATTACTGTAAACGTACCTGGTGCATACTCCATAGCTATCATGAGGGCTTTGTCTTCTAGGAAATTCTCATAGTACTCTATAATATTTGGATGGTTGAGCAGTTTAAGGACTTGACACTCGTTCTGAGCCGACAGACGTTCGTCTCGTGACATCTGCTCCACTGGGATTTCCTTCAGGATGACAAAGGCCCCGTCACCTCGCCTGCGGCACAGGTGAACAATACTGACAGGGGAGGAAAGGGAAAATAAATCAAATCGAGTTTTATTTATAAAGAACATTTAAAAGCGATTTTTGGTTGAGCCAAAGTGCTGTACATGTAATAAAAACACATTACTACAATCACAATAAAAGACAATAGTATATTTTGTGTCATAAACGATATCGTAGTTGCGACAGTGAATTGGCAGTAGTTTTATTTTTAAAGCAAGCATCCTGTATGATTCGAGGAAAAAATGAATTGTTATAAAATTGCCTGTATCCTTTACTTATGTAAAGATAGATAGCGTTGGAGGGTGAAACCCTCTTTAACGGTCACACGTGCAGAGCACACAGCACACACAGTGAAATGTGGTCTCTACTAGGAGCAGTATATACCAATTTGTGCTAAACTATATAAAAAACTAAAATTATTTCTGAACTCTTTGTTATGTATGCTGATTGTTTAGTGGTTCCCTTCAAAAAGAGGAAAAATAACAGACTGGGAGGAATGGATGAAGAAGTAATTAAACACTTATACAACGATATCTTCATGTTGCAGCGAGGGAATAAACAGCAATATGGCTCACAAATGTCTTTCATACAGGCTCATTCAAACTCATATTATGTGGTTACATTAAGAGTGGTAAGTGTACAACTGTTATCTACAACATAATTGGAATAACTTGTTTCTACAAGTGACTATGTAGAAAGGACTACATTAGGGCTGCCCTCTGAAAAGTTGAAGCCCAAATAGTCTGAAAAAGTCGTTTAAATATCACTTCATTGTAGCTACAGTTGTAAATTACCTGAGTGAGTATGCCTTACAACAATACCTCCGATGCATATTTAACGTAGCAGAGTAGTCTGTTCATCTTTAGGATGCATTTAGTTACGTTACAGTATGTTTGATGAACTTTTCCAGCAACTTGTTGTCTTGATGTAACAACAGTGTCTTCCAGCTGTGGAGTATATTCACTCAGTTCAAATAAGGCTATTGTAAAAGGCCAAAACTCAGGGCAACTAACCCGAAATAAGATAACTAGCTAGCCTCCACTAACTGCAGGCCAAAACAGACCTACAAAGTTTGAAGCCCAGGATGACTTCAGCAGTAGGTTACATCACATAGCTAGCTTTGATTGACTTTTATCTACCCTCTGATGGTTTATTTGTAAAGTAATCGTTAGCTTTCTAAACATGTTTTCTTCTGAGGGCGGCGCACATTCGACAGATTCCGTTACATTTATGAGGATAAAGAAAGTTCTACCTTTATGAATGTACGCCTGACAACACCACATGTTCTAACATACAGTTGGATTAAGAGGCGTGTGTAACACAAAAAGCTCCAAAGTGTAAATAATCTCAGAGTTTACCCGAAAGCTCCTCTCCCGACAACTTTGATTTTCTCATACTTCTCCATCGCTGCTCCCAAACGTTTCCGTCGTCTCCAGGCAACCCGTCCCCGCAACAGCAAGCGCCGAGGGACAAACATGGCGAGAGGAGAAACCATACGGAGAAACTCTACTGCAAAAATAAATGCATCACTGAAAGTAGGAGGCTGACAGAAGTGACAGTACAGCACAGACAACGGTTGGTAGCACATATTATAATACATGCTTACATATTTGTATTCTGACAGGGAGGATAACTTAGAGACAGATAAAAAGACCAAACCAATCATGCACATTGCAAATCCTAAAAAAGTGTGCAGTGTGTTGCAAAACTATAATGTATGTAATAATGTATCAAGTCATGGCAGAAGTAACACATTTGAACAAACAGATGGATCCATGATATAAATAGGAGATCAACACTGGAAATTAGATGCAGTTTCGACATTGGTATAAATATAACAATAATGGTAAAATGTTTTACATGTCAGGCTGCTGATGCTGAAGAAGGAAAAAAACAGGGAAAACTTGTATTACTGTATAGGAAATGAAATGTAGGCTCAATTATGTATTTCTTTTCAAAAGCACAGGTGTTGCTTTCCTGATAGCTCTATGCCATTCAAACTTTTCAGTAAGTCCTGCCAGTGCGACAGATTGTCCTCATACATAAGACACTGAAACTGCAACAGCTAAATGGAATTTTGCAATCCTTACACATGTCCTGCAACCACGAGTAACCTATATGTTAATATTTTTTAAAGTGGTTTAATTTCTGAGCAGTACTATTTACTCATTTTATTGTTTGTATAGCTTTGAGTAGGATCTAAATGTTTCTTTACAAATCAGAAAAAGTCTTGTTTTGCAGCTGCATTGAGCACTGAACAAAGCAATCTAGTTTGGAGTCTGTACTTCTTTATTTTATAGTCATGTGATACACAAACAAATTTCCTTTCTGAAAAGTGTCTTTCTATTTTAGGCTACAAACTGCTTTGTTAAAGTACATGTTGTGCGATTTCTTAATTAATATCATGTCAAAATTGTCAGGAAACAAATTCATTGAAGTGAAATCTGGAATGACGACAGTGAGGCGGATGAGATTAGTGTAGCGTCTCGAGCATTGACTTCGGATACTGTGGTCTTACATCCAGACGCCGGGCGATTATAAAGGGCCTTTCCCTTGTCTGAGATAAGCAGGAAGAGGGCTGCCTGAGCACTGTTTCCCCTCTCTGCGACGAAGGGGATAATAAATGCTTTGTGCTGTGACAAAGCCTGCTCTGTGTTGTGCTGAAGTGCATACCTCCACTATTATCATCAATCTGAAATAATGATATATCACCACAAACAGTGATTTTCATGTAATTGAACCTTTTCTTTCAGTTAGCAGTTTTCTAAATGAAGCTGGATGGAGGGAAGATGGTTGAGTAGATTGCTTATGAAAGAAAAGTTAGCCCTTTCTCAGGGATATAATATCTCAACAATGGAGCACCTAAAGGAGTCTTGCATTATATGTGGCACTCCTCAGACCCGCTCAGTTGCATATTTGGCCTTGTGCTGCTGTCATCTGTCAGCTGAAGATCTGTCTAAGGACTCGACAGTCGGTGACCAGGAATGCACTGTGTGGTATAGTGAAACTGGTGCTAAACCCCAGGTATGGTATCAATAATCTTTAAGGATTTTTCATGACATAACAGGAAGTTGAGGTTGTTTCATCATAATGATGCTTTACCTCTCTCGCATGTCCTTTGTCCCTGATTTTGTTGGAGTACCGCCCCAATTAAGTATTACATTTTTTTCTTTCTAATTTCATTAGTTTTAACATTGATTTTTCTACAACCTACAGCAGAGAACCATGGTTTAACTGTCCTGAATCTCCCTCAGATGTATTTTTGTTTGGCTATATACAATGCAAAAATAAAACGACTCAAAGTTTCTCTCTTGCAGTTTTGCAGAGGCTAGCTGTTTCTTGCATCCCTTAGGGTAAAGACAATTAACCCAAAGATCAATGTGGTTAAGTGTTGTTTGAGGTAAAAGATTCTCAAACTCGTCATATGACCCAGACTACTGAACAGGTCAACAGTGTTTATGTGGCCTAATTATTACAACAACAGTGGCACCTAAACTCTATTAGAAATTGTGAGTTGTTTCATTGGAAATCTAAAGTGGTAAGTAACTTCAAGTTTCAAGTATGAGGAATAAATAAATACTTTGCATTACAACACAAATAACCAACGGTGAGGAAACCAGGAAACACAAAAAAAGTATATTGTGTTACATTTCTCTCTCTTACTACCGGGTGTCCTGTTACAGGGCCTTGTACTAAACGAAGTAGATTAATTGTGGTTCATGTTTCATGCTTCCGGATGTATACTTGGAACCATATAGCTATTTATCAGACCAATTTCCTTTTTATCTTTTGTCTCTGTTGTAATGTGAGGTGCAGGTGCAAACATCCCAAGGAGAGAGAGGGTTTTCTTTTAAAAAACAAAAAAACAAAAACAGGCATTTCATTTTTTAGCCTTCAACAAAACATAATTTTACAGAAACATAGACTGCTTTCTTCACTACATGCCTGGTGCTGCTCTTTCACCAACAATTGAAACCAATGCCACCCGTCCCCTCTCTTTCCAGTCATATTTATAGTCGATTACCCGCCTTCCCAATTCAACCTGGCCAATCAGGTCATGACTCTGAAAGGGGAGTGAAGAGTTAAACACAAAATAAAACGTTTTTTCTGCATGTAACAAAATCATCAAGGCCAGAGTAAATTAATTATTTGATCTACAAAAAACATTGTTCATTCAAAACAAACAAGATCTGCACACAACTGATAGATTAATTGGCATTCATTACATTAGACATTTTCCGACCAATGACATCCAAGACTCTGCCTACTCATACAGAACATAAGGAGTACTTTGGAGGCGTGTTCCCCCTTTGAGCATCGGCACAAGATGACCTCCGGGTCTGAACAAAGGAAATGGTGATTCACTTTGTGATTGTTTGTTTAAGACATTTTAAGAAGTGAAATTCATTTAGATGTATAGTATATTAGTTTGCCTATGTAAATTGATATTATAAACTTTAATTGAAATAAAGACAATTCAGAAGATAAATAGACTGACTTTCTTTACAAACAAAGTGTTTATCAAAATGTTAGTGAGGGAGTGTGTGCTTCCTCAGTCTCTTTCTCAGATATGTACACACTCACTCACCTCACTCAGGTGTAGCTCATTTACTTAGGTTACTTACCTTCACAGCCTTATTAGCACGATGACTCAAAATGTCAACATCAACCCCACCCCAGAGAGGTGGGCCTTCCTGGAGGTCTTTGGAGACCAATGCCCCCAAGTGGTTTGATGAAGAACTTGGAATCACTGTATAAGTCAGTATAAAATGTTTGTTCTTTGCGTGAGGATTTGCTGTCATCTAGTGGGCAGTTTTATATTTAAGTTTTACTCTGTATAATATGTTTTTAAAATGGGGGCAGACTAATGTCACGAATAATGTAGCTTTATTTAAGCAGAGACCTATAGGAAAAAACGAGAGAGGGGGTTGTGTGCTGAAAGTGCTGAAAAAATACAAAAGCATAAGCATAATTATACACAAAGTATAAAAAACGTAGGCCTATGTATTACTACTTTATTCTGTAGAATGACTAATTTTAGAATAATACATATTTAATTATTACAAAAATAGTGTCCATTAAGTGTAAGCATCACTAATGTTGCAGCTAGTAAAGGTTTTTTATTTCATTTGATTGTATTCTTCTGGGCAGAATTAATTATATAATAATAACTCAGCATTATGAATGAGTTCATTTAAATATAATTAATCTGAAAATGTTAGTGACTAATGTTTTCAAGTCCATACAGTGGAATAAAAAGTGGAGTAAAATAATAAAGAGGCATACAATGAAAATAGTCAAATACAGTTAATGTACCTCAAAGTTGTACTTTAGTACAGTAATTGTAATGGTACACAGTAACATTAACACCACTGCAAGCTTGCTTAAAATGCCCCAAATATTTCTCAATCCAAAACTAAAACCAAATGTAGTTATATTATTATTAATTTAAATAAGCATAAATAATCAGACATTTTGTACAAAATTCGCTAAAACCGCAACTGCAGCTACCATAACTTTAATGAAGTAATTTAGGCAAAAGGAAAATGAATGAAAAAGGATCAGGACAATAAAACAGGTAGTCACATATAAAGCCAAAAAATAGGATTAGGATTAAATAAATGAATCAATTTGTGAATGATGTGAAAAACTACCGGTAAAGAAAAGTAAACTCCTCGTGTGGGCATACATTTCATACAGACAGCTGTGGTGGAGGTGGTAATATGAGTAATGGGTCTTAGCTGTTTCTGTAGAGTTCTACCACCCACTTACTCACTTCCTTTTCCCCCCAACTGGGCTGCAGAGAGGCCAGCTGAGGGGGGGAGAGCCACGCTGTGTTTAAGTTAAAGATATGGCCAGGAAGGAGGGAGTTAGTTACATGATGCCTGTCTAACAGATGTACATTGTTTTCCTCCAAAAATAACAAAGATGTGCATCTTTATACTTTCAATCATATCATTTTTCTGACTTTGCCACCAATTTACCTAAAAAGAAAGGTCATCCTGTGTTTATCCTGTATCAAATGCATGTAATGTAATGAAGCCAGGACTCACTTTGAATTGAGCTAAAAGGCTAATGTGTCACAGTCCTAGTTTTCTTTCACATCTTAGTTGTCTGTCTTGTCATGATTTTATGTTGAAATTCTGTTTTCCCTGTGTCTTGTCTTCCTTCCTGTGTTTTCCCTCATGTGTCTGATTGTGTTCACCTGTTGTCCTTGTGTTTCTGCCTCCCCTGCCCAGCTGTGTCTTATCCTGTGATTACCCCTCTTTGTATTCTTCCCTCTTTGTATTTAGTCTTGTCTTCCCCTGTGTTCCTTGTCGGTTCATTTTCTTCCCTGTCTCCCTCCATGTTGGTCACGGTCAGTTTTTGCTTTATTGCTACCTTGTGCCACCTGTTTGTTTCATGCCATGATTTATTCATCAGCTTTTTTTTTTTTAAATAAAGCTCGTTTTTTGTTCCTAGACCTTTTTACCTTTTTTGTATTCTGCATTTGGGTCCTACCTTTTTCCACGAATCATCAGCAGAATAAAGGTCCAAATGAACATTTGTATCCCTTTGAGGGATTAATGGTCATTGGAGTAAGTCATGACTAAAGTAACAACTGGATGATAATTATTGTAAACTTTATAATATGATTTTGTGAAAACCAAAGCACCAGCATTTGGCATGAGCTGAAGGCAGGCAACAGATATCGACCCACATAAGAATAAAAGGATTTGTAGCATAGACAACTTTCCAAGATATCACGCAGTTAAACATTATTTTATCTAGTTACAATTGTACTACCTCAGACCTATAGCTTGTCAAACCATGGATCAGAAAGGCAGTTTGAATGTCTACCTACATTAACACAACCTGGGCCTTATGCAGCTGTGAGTCATCAGCATACCCATGGGAATGTATGCCATGTTTGTGAAATATGTGGCCCAGTTGCAGTGTGCAAATGGGAAATTAAAGAGGACCTAAGTTTAGCTCTTGGGGTACACAACGGGCCCTCACCTGCCAACTTTTACAGTCCAACTAACCAAGAAGAAAGGAGCAAAACGGCCCTGTACTTAATGCCTGACTGGAGGATAGCATTTTCATTGTATGTTTCTTTGTGGGGGGAATGGCATGGTTTTTACCTAACTCCAATTATTTTACAGCTGTAGTTGCATGTTAAGACTAATAACAATGCTAGTGTTAAAGTAATTAACATTCTTGAAGGGGTTATTCTGCAAAATCACTAAAAGAGCACTTTTATTTTGATGCTTTATTGGATTTTGTGTATAATACATTTGCACAGATAGGCTACTTTGAAAGCCTTTATTATCCACCACTGGCACAGTGTAAACAGATGTTCAAAAATATCCAAGCGCCTTTATGGCTTACATGTGCTCTATACATTTTAGGTCAGAAACAGATAGAAGCCACTTAGAGCTTGTAAACCTGCTTGTTATTGTTAATAAATAGATGCAGCATTAGGCAGAGTGAAGCGGCCTTTACGCACAACTACGCATAAGGGGCGGCGCCGGTATCCATACAAGTTTGAATGTATACTATGCATTTCCATTTGTCTTCTCGACATGCTTCCCCAAAATCCCGTTTTTTTGCAGTCATGCTCTGTGATTTTATTACTTGTGTAACGTGATCGTTCGTTCTGCCCCTCCTTGTTTAGTGGTTAACGGCGCTCCCTCTCCCACCACTCTTCCTCTATTCTGCACAGACGGGCGGGCTGAAAGCACATAACATTACAAGGCGCTGCGTGAGGACAAACACGCTCTGATTGGAATAAGCTGAACTTGAATCCCTTCAGTGGCTCGGGATACTTGAGAATAAAAAGGCTACGACATCAGCTGGACATTTCTGGGGTAATAAGACGTATTTAAAAACTTTTATCCTGGGGAACACTCCCATCTCATACCGCTCTTATCTGTCAACCAGCGAGTCCAGGAGAAGTTGACAGGCGCGTGAAAAAGCCTACAGTGGTCCAGGTCAAGGACAGAAGAAAAGCAAGCGTCTATAAACCGCAGTGGTCGAGGATGGACGCCCTGGTTTCTGTGCTGAGTAGTCACCCAGGCTCCACTGTGCTGGTGTTCGCTCTGATTTTCAGGCTGATCCACCGGTTGCTGCAAAGGTTGCCTGTGCCCAAAGCAGTGAAGCAGCATGACCACACTTGGAAGTGGAGGAACCTAAACGTCTCAATGGTGCACTCCCTGCTGACAGGGACATGGGCCGTGACTTGGTAAGTTTCCACCCAAACATATTCCTCTAACTATCCATCCATCTATCTCTCCACACTGTGACACCATTGTCTATTCACAGTCCACATGATGTGTGGGGCTGTGTGTGAGCAGCAGTGACAGTCTGTGGCAGCCAGGAGAAGAAGGGCATGTTCAGACAGGGTGAGGGACGGGGGAGAGAATGGCATCTTTAAGTGGGGAGGGAAATACCACTGTACAGTATGCACTAGGACTATTATTGGGATTTGCTTGTACCTGTATTATTTTCTTGCACTCAATGATCCGTATATAAAAAAAAACAGGTTCAACCTCACATGCATCGAACAGTCAGGACTACTCAAACAACAGCTTGCAGATATATGGACTGGAAAAACCTGCTTGACAAAAGATTCCTGTGAAAGCATAATGAGAAACTATTTTGGGGTGGGGACCGTCCATGTGATTCAACTTTTAACATTAAGAAGTAGGATCAAGGTTCAGAATTCTAAGTATTTCTACATTAATGATTTATTTATACATTTTTGTAATAAGTAAATTGAGAACTAATTAAGTTTCCACTTTAAAAAGTAGCAGTAGTGCTAAGGAAACCTGTGAAACAGAACACAGCATGCATTATATTCCATATTAGGGATATGTCGTGTATAAACACAATCTCTTTGCTGGTGTGTTTATACAGGGAGGGGATAGATATAAATCTTTCCTTTTTGCGGTGTGCCTCCTTTGCTAACAGCAGTTAAAAGTGAGACAAATTAATGCAAAGTCAGAGAGAAAAGTAGTCATAGAATTGTAAAAATAAGGCTGTTTTTTAGACGGACAGATTGATAGTTAATTGGCAAAAGAAATGATTAAAGATAACAATTTCTCCAACTACTAAAAGGAAGCATATTGTTGGGGGATTACAAAAGTCCTGATACCTGATATTAATGTCTCTGCTACCCAGGAGTGAGTCAATGTGTGTGTGGGCAAGGCGTGTGAGCAAGGCGAATACTAAGCCGTTTATCCATAACATTTATCCCTCTTCAGTGCGGTGGTTTGGCCCGAGACGTTGAGCAACCTTCACTCTTACTACACCTCTCTGTCATACCTGCTCGTCTGCGTCTCCACAGGTCAGTCAACGCATAACAGTTTCTCAGTAAAACAAACATGGTATGAAAATTGGCAGGTTATCATACCATGTACATTTGCCTACCTACAGTTAAAACGAACTGACATAATTGACTGTGTGAAGTACAGACAGCAGCACATACAATATATCATTTTAATATCTCACAGCTGAAGTTCTTTTTTAATTTAGAAGTTCATTTAACGTGTTATTGTGGTGAAAACATGTTTTTATACAACATGGTATTGTGAAATGCTACTGTTTCTATCAGACTTATAATTATCATATGGCTAATTTCTAAAAAGATCATTGTTACCGTGTAATACTTCATCATGTATGACAAAGAAAATAACCGAGTGTTCTTTGATTTTGCTTAAACAATTACTAAAATGATCATCAAACTGTCAGAATTGCTGCAGAATGACTTTCTATCAATCAGTACTGTACATCGTGTACTGTATACTGCCTGAGAGGTAATAACAGGAGACGTGCTGATTGACATTTGCATTTTCTCTCCACTTCTTGTATCCTTTGTGGAGGTGTAAAACCGCCACCTTTCCAGTTGCTGCTTTTCAGAGAAACAACAAAAAGACCCTCCCCCCTCACCTGATTCCCTGAACAGACGAATAGGTGTCACTTCTAAATACACTGAGGGCTCGCTGGTCTGGTTGATCTGTATTGTATGTAGTTGAGTATGTGTTACCATGAAGACACAAATCTGTAGAGATCTGCCATAACAACCGCAGACAGCTATTAGCTCCACTGAGGCCCACCACACCAGAAACTGGAGGTCATGTTCTCTCAAACAGAGGCGGGTTGTGTATCTTGTTAGCCAGAGCGTGTCAGTCATACAGAGGCACAAAATACTCTTTACTTCAATTTTTCCAGCTCAATGAGGCCTGCACAGTTTGATTACCGTGGTTATGTTGTGAATTATAAAGTTGTCGAATTCAAAAATAAATATTGAAGCTTTATTCATTAAAACATTTGGAAAAGGAATATTTAACTCTACTGTCAGATCAGCACAACATATATACAGTAAATGTTTCAATACATTTCACAAGAAAAGTCTTGCATCAAAATGTCTACAATGAAATATCCTAAAAAGTTGATCTTCGGTGACACTACACGCTTTTAAATGCAGTATTCTGCAAAAAGTAACAAATTAAACATTTAGTTTGATTAGTCTCAAGGTGGTGAAAATATTAGGGAAAAAAAGTAAATATTTGAACTCTTACTTTCCAAAGACCACATCTAAAAGTTCAAAGCTGTTATTTTTTAGCATCCTAATGTCTATCTAAAAGATGTCATCAATGTGTTGTCTCTAAAATATGTTAGGTCCATCTTACCTCACCTCACATAACCCTATGCAACCTCATCAGAACTTTACATTGACACTTGTGAATGTCGTATTATTTAACAAGCTAAACGATTATGTAATACGTTCATGATACCCAAGTCATATGTCATGTCAATCTGACCAAGTGTCTGTGAAATAAATATCAGAAAAAAGCTTAACTCAAAGGTGCTTTTTATCTCAACTTCACCTTCCTCCTGTCCTCTTCCTCTCATACCAGTGACCCTGACGGTATCATTTTATCTTTCCTCTCAGGATACTTTGTGCAGGACGCAGGTGATATTATCCTGACAGGACATGCAAGAGCATCATGGGAATTTTTAATCCATCATTCGCTTGTAAGTTGGCGTGCCTGCATGCCATGTTTTCTATTTGAACTCTAACAATGTTGCACTTCTTGTTCAGATAAGAGATCAGAGTTAGTAAGATCATCTCAGTTAGATGATCTCAAAGTGAGTTTTGCATTAGAGATGTTAAAGACGGAGAAAAGAAGATTGTTATTTTTGTTTAAATTAAGTAAACTCCATAATGTACATTTGGTTATTGCAGATTGGGTTGTCTTTTAAAAATAATCATCCTGCTAAATGCCCTGCATTGTACATTAAGGCAATTTGTTGTGTATGCTGTTATTGATTTTTACTGAATACCATTGAATTATTGATCAAGTATCCACTGAACAAACAGATTCAGAGATAGCAGAATATGTATGGGACTGTAAAACTGGCAGACTTGTTATGAATTGATTATAAAAGTAGGGTAGACATGTGGATATTATCCGGCTGAACAAAACGTGCATTTATCTAACAGGTTCGTTTTCCACAGACCTTATTTTGAGCTATTTTCCCATGCGCAGCTTACTTCCGGGTTTTAGGACGCGTTACTGCACCACTCTATTAGAATTTAAAGTTAACTTCTGAGGGTCTGAATAATATTTTTGATGAATGGTACAAGTGACAGTGGGGTTAAGGCGTTATATCAGGAGCATTGCTTAAAAGGCAAATCTAAATCAAGGCAAACATTGAGGCCATCAAACACAAGAGACTAGCTGTAAATAAACTGACTGTCTGTGTCTCTTCCTCAGGTGATCTCGTGTTTCATGTACAGCCTCTACACTAAGCTGTATGTAGGCGGCGCTGTAATCGCTCTCTTTGTGGAGGTCAACAGCGTCACACTGCACCTGAGGCTGCTGCTGAAGCTGGCGAACGCTCAGTCCTCTCCCATGTACCAAATCAACAAATACCTCAACATCTTCACCTACATCACGTTTCGTCTGAGCACCCAGTTCTACCTCACCTGGTACATCGTCCACAACTACACCTGGCTGGACAATGGTTCATTCTTCCTCGCCTCCATGATAGCGATGAATATTATGATCCTGATTTATTTCTACCGCCTTCTACGTGCTGACTTCTTTCCCCGGAGCTGGAGATCTGTGAGACCGGATGGGACACATAACAACAACTCCAAAAGGTTTCTCACTGATTGACTGGGGGAGGTCTGTGGACTTATTTAGCGTTTGTTTTTTTACTGGAAGTTTAAACCACTGCCAAAGACCCCTACCCCAAAACAACTTTTGGAAGAACAAGATGCAGCCTTGTTCAGAAAGGTTGGAAATTCAATGCAACACAGCTTTAATTGAAGCCAAATTCATAAACTCTTGTAACATCTCTCAAAACCTTGCAATATTACTAATTTCACTTTCAGCTATCCTGGCTCTATAAAAAAACATCTCCAATAAAACCATAACCTGATGTTTTATACTCTGTATTTTTGTACAAATTAAACAAATATACAAAATTCAAATTGATGAGCTTTAGAGGTTACTTTAGGCAGATGCTGTTGAACTAGTATAACTACTTTTCCCTGTTTCCAGTTTTTATGCTGATCTATTTTTGCTGAGCTTTAGTTATGGGTTGCAAATTCTGACTCATAATTTAGCATCAGAAGTCTCACATTTTAACAAAATGTGGAGGCCTACATACGGTAAGTCTTCTGTGTCTTTTTGATGCCATGTGTGGCTGAAGAGATGCTGAACTAAAACAACTCAACCTGCTCACACGGGAACGCAGGACAATGTTAACTCCTCATGGTTCTCAGATAAATGTGTTGGTGTTTGACAGAAGTGGGCTGAATCGGGATCTTCCTGCCATTAACAGTCTGATAACTGAGCACCACGAGAAACCTTACACAATTAATTAACACAATCAAGACTGATGTTGATTATTATCACCAGTAGTAATGTGGAGTGAGAGCAGAGGACTGCCAACGTGTGTAGCTTCCTTGCAAAACAGTTAGACCTTTTTTAGAATCTAATGACATCTATTTCTTTATTTTCTTCTCTTCCTCTTCTGTCCTTAACTTAAAGTGGACATACTTGGAAAATAATGTTCTCAAATGTGTATTTCTATTTAGATATCTTGTTAGTGAAAATACTAGCATCAGTGAACTTTAAATGCTAATATCCTAATCACGCCATAATTCATTTGTGCTGGCAGTGTCATTTAAAAACCTAACGATTAGTAAATTTCATTTTCTATTTCAGCCAAATGCCAAGAAATGGACAGACAGATTATGAATGTGCTGCAGTGCATTTACCCCAGTGCCTTTACAAAAAGAGCAAGGTAAAGATACAGTGCATGCTGATATCTGTGTTCTTTTGCAAATGCTGGACAACGTCTCTGGTACTTCTACTTTTACTGAAGTACAAGATCTGAGTACTTCTCCCACATCTCTCTATCAGTGCGACACATGTGTTGTGTTTAAAAAACAAACAGAGGATTAGAGCGCCCTCTACTGTCGACATGTGTCATTGACGGACAGGAAACAGAAAAAGTTAGAATAGGTTTTCATT